TGCAGTGAGCCAAGAACACACCACTACACTCCAGCCTGGGTGACAGAATAATTGTTCCCTAGGAAGAAGAAAAGTCTAAAAGTTTGGAAAACTTATTTCAGGGAATAATCAAGGAAACCATCCCTGACCTTGTTAGAGATCTAGACATCCAAATATAAGAAATTCAAAGAACACCCAGGAAATTCATCGCAAAAAGATCGTGAAACTAAATCTTGAATCAAATCCTTGAAATACACCAAAACAGAACCTCCTTAAAGCATAAATCTCACAGGGCCTATAAAACAATGACACAATGGGAGGGGGAAGAAAAAAAAACCAAAAAACCAAACCCAAGGTATTCAGGCAACAACTAGCACTCTTAATAGAATAGTACCTCACATCTCAATACTGACATTGACTGTAAATGGCCTAAATGCTGCACTTAAATGATACAGAATGGCAGAATGAGTAAGAATTCATCAGGCTGGGCACGGTGGCTCACGCCTGTAATCCCAGCACTTTGGGAGGCCAAGGCAGGCAGATCATGAGGTCAGGAGATCAAGACCATCGTGGCTAACACGGTGAAACCCCGTCTCTACTAAAAATAAAAATTAAAAAAAAAAATTAACCCGGTGTGGTGGTGGCCACCTGTAGTCCCAGCTACTCTGGAGGCTGAAGCAGAAGAATGGTGTGAACCCGGGAGGTGGAGCTTACAGTGAGCCGAGATTGCACCACTGCACTCCAGCCTGGGCGACACAGCAAGATAGTCTCAAAAAAAAAAAAAAAGAATTCATCAACCAAGTCTCTGCTGTCTTCAGGAGACTCACCTAACACATAAGGATTCACATAAACTTAAGGTAAAGGGGTGTAAAAAGATAGTCCATGTAAATGGACACCAAAAGTGAGCAGGAGTAGCTATCTTTATATCAGAAAAAAACCAGACTTTAAAGCGACAACAGTTAAAAGAGACAAAGAGGGACATTATATAATGATGAAAGGACTAGTCCAACAGGAAGATATCACAATCCTAAATACATATGCACCTAACACTGCAGCTCCCAAACTTTTGAAACAATTACTGCTAGACCTAAGAAATTAGATAGACTGCAACACAATAGAGGGGGACTTCAGTACTCCACTGACAGCACTAGACAGGTCATCAAGACAGAAAGTCAACAAAGAAACAGTGGATTTAAACTATACCCTAGAATAAATGGACATAACAGATAGGTACATAACATTCTGCAGTTGTACCCTAGAACAAAAGGACTTAACAGATATTTAGAAAACATTCTACCCAACAGCTGCAGAATATACATTATATTCATCAGCATATGAACATTCTCTAAGATAGACCATATGATAGGCCACAAAACAAGCCTTAATAAATTTCAGAAAGTCGAATGTTTTTGTTTTTGAGACGGGGTCTTGCTCTGTTGCCCACGCTGGAGTGCAGTGGCACAGTCTCGACTCACCACAACCTCCGCCTCTTGGGTTCAAGTGATTTTCCTGCCTTAGCCTCCTGTGAAGCTGAGATTACAGGCATGCTCCGCCACTCCCAGCTAATTTTTGTATTTTTAGTAGAGACGGGGTCTCACTATATTGGCTAGACTGATCTTGACCTTCAGGCCTCAAGTGATCCACCTGACTTGGCCTCCCAAAATGCTACGATTACAGGCATAAGCCACCACCCAGCCAAAAAATCAAAGTATATCAAGTACTCTCTCAGACCACAGTGGAATAAAATTATAAATCAACTCCAGGGCTGGGCATAGTGACTCATGCCTGTAATCCCAGCACTGTGGGATACTGAGGTGGGTAGATCATAAGTTCGGGAGTTCAAGACCGGCCTGGCCAACATGGCAAAACCCCATCTCTACTAAAACTACAAAAATTAGCCAGGCGCAGTGGCAGGCACCTATAATCCCAGCTGCTCGGGAGGCTGAGGCAGAAGAATCGCTTGAACCTGGGCGGCAGAGGTTGCAGTGAGCTGAGATTGCGCCACTACACTCCAGCCCGGGCAATAGAGTGAGACTCCATCTTAAAAACTAAAAAAGAAATCAACTACAAAGAAACCCTCAAAACCATGCAGATATATGAAAATTAAATAGTCTGTTCCTGAATGATCACTGAGTCAACAATAAAATCAAGATTGAAATTTACAAATTCCTTGAACTGAATGATAATAGTGACACAACCTATCAAAACCTCTAGGATACAGCAAAAACAGTGCTAAGAGGAAAGATCATAGCATTAAATGTCTGCATCAAAAACTCTGAAAAAGCACTAATAAGACAATCTAAGGTCATAGCTAAAGAAACTAGAAAAACAAGAACAAACCAGACCCAAACCCAGCAGAAGAAAAGAAATAAAAGAGCAGAAGTAAATGAAATTGAAACAACACACACACAAACAAGTTCTTTAAAAATATAAATCAAGTTGATAGACCATTAGTGAGGCTAACCAAGAAAAGAGAGAAGATCCAAGTAGGCTCAATTAGAAATGAAACAGAAGATACTACAACCGATACCACAGAAATACAAATGATTATTCATGGCTGCTGTTAACACCTTTATGTGCACAAACTAGAAAACCTAGAAGACATGGATAAATTCCTGGAATTACACAACCCTCCTAGATTAAACCAGGAAGAAATAGAGACTCTGAACAGACCCATAACAAGCAGCAACATTGAAATGATCATTTAAAAATTGCCAACAAAAAAAAGTTCAGGACCAGATGGATTCACAACTGAATTCTATCAGACTTCCAAAGAATTGGTACCAATCCTATTGAAACTATTCCAAAAGACAAAGCGGGAATCCTCCCTAAATCATTCTACGAAAGCAGTATCACCCTAACACCAAAACCAGGAAAGGATATAACAAAAAATGAAAACTACAGACCAGTATTTCTAATGAACACAGATGCAAAAATCCTCAACAAAATACTAGCTAACCCAAATCCAACAGTATATCAAAAAGATAATCCACCATGATCAAGTGGGTTTCATATTGGGGATGCTGGGATGGCTTAACACACACAGGCCAATAAATGTTATACATCACATAAATAGAATTAAAAACAAAAATTACCTGATCATCTCGATAGATGCAGAAAAGACATTTGACAAAATCCAGCATCCTTTCGTGATTAAAACCCTCAGAAAATCGTCATAGAGGGAACATATTTTAAGATAATAAAAGCCATCTATGACAAACCCACAGCCAACATTATACTGAATGGGGAAAAGTTGAAAGCATTCCCCCTGTGAACTGAAACAAGGCAAGGATGCCCACTTTGACCACTTATATTCAACATAGTACTGAAAGTCCTAGCCAGAGCAGTCGGACAAGAGAAAGAAATAAAGGGCATCTATGTCAGTAAAGAGAAAGTCAAACTGTCATGGTTCACCAGTGATATGATCGTATACCCAGAAAACCCTAAAGACTCATCCAGAGAGCTCCTAGATCTGATAAATGAATTCAGTAAAGTTTCAGGATACAAAATCAATGTACACAAATCAGTAGCACTGCTATACACTAACAGTGACCAAGCCAAGAATCAAGTCAAGAACTGAAGCCCTTTTACAGTAGCTGCAAAAAAAAAAAAAAAAAAAAAAAAAGAGGAAAGAAATATACCTAACCAAGGACCCGAAAGACCTCTACGAGGAAAACTACAAAACACTGCTGAAGGAAATCACAGACAACACAAACAAATGGAAACACGTCAACACATCCCATGCTTGTGGATGGGTAGAATCAATATTGTGAAAATAATCATATGGCCAAAAACAATCAACAAATTCAATGCAATTCCCATTGAAATAACCATCATCATTCCTCACAGAACTAGAAAAAACAATCCTAAAATTCATATGAAACCAAAAACTCGTAGCCAAAGCAGGACTAAGCAAAAAGAACAAATCCAGAGGCATCACATTACATGACTTTGAACTGTACAATAAGGTTGTAGTCACCAAAACAGCATGGTACTTGTGTAAAAATGGGCACATAGACCAATGGTACAGAGTAGAGAACCCAGAAATAACGCCAAATAATTATAGCCAGCTGATCTTCGACAAAGCAAACGGAAAGATAAAGTGGGGAAAGAACATTCTATTCAAATAAATGGTGCTGGGATAATTGGCAAGCCACACGTAGGAGAATGAAACTGTATCCTCATCTCTCACCTGATACATAGATCAACTCAAGATGGATCAAATACTTAAATCTGACCTGAAACAATAAAAATTCTAGAAGATAACAGTGGAAAACCCCTTCTAGACATTGGCCTAGGCAAAGAGCTCATGACCAAGAACCCAAAAGCAAATACAACAAAAACAAAGATAAATAGATGATACTTAAATAAATTTAAAAGCTTCTGCACAGCAAAAGGGACAGTCAGCAGAGTAAACAGACAACCCACAGAGTGGGAGAAAATCTTCACAAACCATGCCTCCAATAAAGGACTAATAGCCAGAATCTACAAGAAATGCAAACAAGTCAGCAAGAAAAAAAATAACAATAATCCCATCAAAAAGTGGGCTAAGTACATAAATAGACAAATTCTCCAAGAAGATATGCAAATGGCCAAAAAAACATGAAAAAATGCTCATCATCACCTATTATCAGGGAAATGCAAATTAAAACCACAGTATAATACCACCTTGTTCCTGCAAGAATGGCTATCATTTAAAAATCAAAAAATAAGGCCGAGTGCAGTGGCTCACGCCTGTAATCCCAACACTTCAGGAGGCCAAGGCAGGCAGATCACTTGAGGCTAGGAGTTTGAGACCAGTCTGGACAATATGGTGAAACCCCGTCTCTACTAAAAATACAAAAATTAGCCGGGTGTAGTGGCGTGTGCCTGTAGTCCCAGATACTCAGGAGATTGAGGAAGGAGAATTGCGTGAACCCAGGATTTGGAGGTTGCAGTGAGCCGAGATTGCACCACTGCACTCCAGCCTGGGTGACAAAGCAAGACTCCCTCTCAAAAAGAAAAAGAAAACACAAAGGCATAAGAATGATACAATGGGAGAAGTCTGTGAGGGCTGGGCTTGCGAGAGGATCAACATGCCTTTGGCTAGAGATTTACTACATCCATCCTTGGAAGAGGAAAAGAAAAAACATAAAAAGAAACGCCTGGTACAAAGTCCAAATTCTTACTTTATGGATGTAAAATGCCCAAGTTGCTACAAGATCACCACGGTTTTCAGCCATGCTCAGACAGTGGTTCTTTGTGTGGGTTGTTCAACAGTGTTGTGCCAGCCTACAGGAGGAAAGGCCAGACTCACAGAAGGGTGTTCATTTAGAAGAAAGCAACACTAATGATTCAAACAGCTTCCTGAATTTTGTGTTATCTCACAGAAAGCCTTATCATAAATTCCATAGTTCTAATTAATTTACCAAGATAATGTAATTACATTTGGTTTTGTAAGTATACAACAGTAATCTCCTATTTTGGTGTCCGTTTTCAATAAAGTTTTGATATGGACAAAAAAAAAAAAAAAAAGAATGATACAATGGGACTTTGGGGACTTGGGGGAAGGGTGAGAGGTGTGTAAGAGATAAAAGACGTGTAACTGGGTGCAGTGTACACTGCCCAGGTGATAGGTGCACCATAATCTCAGCAATCACACCTAAAGAACTTATCCATGTAACCAAACACCACCTGTTTCCCCAAAAACCTATTAAAATAAAAATAAATAAATAAAAATAAAATAAAACAATGGAACTTTTTTTTTAAATAATGATGATAAATAGTAAACAAAGGAATGAACCAAAAATAATCAATGTTACCAGTACAAAGTCAATTAGTGGAGAATCTCCAATAATTAGGAGAATTACTTTTCTTCTATGTCATTGTTTTTGTTGCTTTGTAATATATGTTGAGAATACAATGGATGAAAATGAACACATTCTTCAGATTTGTGATCAGCATAATACTTTCCTAGAAAAAAAACCAGATACCTGTGTTACGTATGGTCTGGCCATCTCTCAATTCAAGTACATTACAACAGGTACCACAACAATGCCTCATTTTTAGAAGAAACCATTTTGGGAGAAATGCCAGTTATTTTTCTATGAAAAGGATTAAAGCCAACCCATAATTTAAAATTTCTTGTCACTAGAGGGATGGCAGCATTCCTTCGTGCCTTAACAACTTTCCAGAAGGCAAATTACTTTAAACACGTTTCCATTATGCACAAAGTGTGTTTCCTCTTTAATTGCCTCAGCAGCTTAGCACAGGTGGAATCCTATTTATAATATGCAGTGAGGTATAATGAGGCCACTGCAATATTCCCTGCCGCACAGGGTCTGGGAAGATATGAGACTGAAGAGCGCTTCTTCTTGTGCCGTTTCTGTAGTTTCGGAAAGGATCTCTGGCTCTGAATTGGGGACACTCTGCCTCCTCTTCATTAGCAGGAAATAGTCAGCAATAATCAATACAGTGCAAACAAAATAATGTTACCATTTTAGAGGATAAAAGAGTATATTAACCATATGGAGATGTGGCATGGAGGAAGGCTTTATTAAAGATAAGGAAATAAATCCACTTGAGAAGGAGTGTTCTAAGGTTTTTGAGGTGGCAAGAATGGATAGGTTGGAATCACAAATAGAGGAGTTTACCATAGAAAAAGAAGAAATAACCTCTCTGCCAGGCACGGTGGCTCACGCCTGTAATCCCAGCACTTTGGGAGGCCAAGGCGGGCAGATCACTTGAGGCCAGGAGTTCAAGCAGACCAGCCTGACCAACATGGAGAAACCCCGTCTCTACTAAAAATACAAAATTAGCCAGGCGTGGTGGTGCATGCCTATAATCCCAGCTGCTCAGGAGGCTGAGGCAGGATAATTGCTTGAACCCGGGAGTCAGAGGCTGCAGTGAGCTGAGATTGCACCATTGCACTCCAGCCTAGGCAACAAGAGCAAAACTCTGTCTCAAGAAAAAAAAAAAAAGAAGAAGAAGAAATAACCTCTCTTGTTACAAAAGGAAAGGAAGTGAGGATGAGTAAAGTAAGGAAAGGTAACAGAATTCTCAGATGTGATTCTATTTTCTTTGGGCAAGGGGTGGTTTGAGAGCTGGGAGTCATAGGTTATGATGTTGAAATAGTTTTTGCAGTTTACTGGAGAAATACGCTAATAATAGGAGCTAATACTTTGTAATGTCCACTATGTGCCAAGCACTAATCCAAACATATTTCATGGACTAACTTACTTAATTTTCACCACAACCCTATGCAGTATAGGTACTTTTATCTTCTTTTATAGATGAGAAAATTAAACCACAGCGATTAAGTGACTCTCAATGTCTCTCACATTGTAAATGATGGAGCTAGTATTCAAAGCCAGACTGTCTGGCTCCAGAGTCCATGTGCTTAGCCATCATTCTACAAGGATAGCTAAATAGACATAATATTTGTTAATGACCCTGGATTAATGTGTTACCTATTTTTCTATTAGTGATTTTTTTAAGGGTCAGAGTCTTGCTCTGTTGTCCAGGCTGCAGTGCAGTGGTGTGATCGTGGCTCACTGCATCCTCTAACTTCCAGGCTCAAGCTGTCCTCCCACCACAGCCTAATGACTAGCTGGGACTACAGGCATGAGCCATCATGCCTGGCTCCCTATTAGTGATTTTTCAACATCCCTGAATAGGCATGGAAAAAATGCAGACTTTAAAGTCTGTACATTCTGTGTGTTTTGATTTTTAACACCCAAATAAGGTTTATTCATGAACAAATAAATAAATAAACCTCACCAAATAAGGTTTATTCTGTACTTATTGCCATGACTAGTGGATGGAGTTTAGAAATAAATCAAGAATGTTTTTAATAATTGAATTCAGTTTTAAAAGAATTAGGTTAGCTGTTTTGTTTGTTTGAGACAGGGCCTCACTCTGTCACCCAGGCTGAAGTGCAGTGGCACAATCACAGCTCACTGCAGCCTCAACCTCCCAGGCTCAAGCAGTCCTTCTGCCCCAGCCTCCCAAGTAGCTGGGAGTACAGACAGGCACATGCCACCACACCCGGCTAATTTTTAAATTTTTTGTAGATACAGGCTCCCACTATGTTGCCCAGGCTGGTCTCAAACTCCTGGGCTTGAGCAGACCTCCTGCCCCAGCCTCCCAAAGTGCTGGGATTATAGCCATGTGTCGCTGTGTCAGGCCTAGATTAGCTGTTTTGATCAATGACTTTTATGATCAAACTTCCACGAAAATAACTTTCTTAAAGTTCATAATAGTATTGACTTTACTTTGTCAAAATTTGGGTGAATTTTGGGTAAATGGAATTATGTCATTCTTAGGAATGCTGTCTCATGTATCCTTGCCAAGTTGATTGATTGATTGATTGATTGATGGATAATGATTGCTTTATTATAACTTGTTCTGAAAACCTTACGGAAAGATTTAGGATCCCAGGGTTTTTTTGTAAAATTGTGTTGGTTAAGATATTAAATTGGAATTACCTTTTTCACAGGGGATTGTATCCCATCTACCCTTCAGTGTGCTGCTTGTGGAACTCCGTCAGTGTCAAAAGATTCAATGTATTAGAGGCATTAGATTTGTATTTGCAGATATATTTATAAGGAAGTAAAACATTCTTTGAGATAAGAAAATAATACTTTTGATAGTTCACTGGAACCATCTTTTGAAGTGAAATTATTGTTTCTTTGGGAAAATTTGGGCATGAGGCTCTGTAAAAATGTTCAAAGCCCTGACATTATGGTATGGAAACTGCTAGTCTTCTCCTGAAGGCTGTCTCCTACCAGATTTCAAAATGTTTACTAACAGATTTGAAAATGTTTTTTCAGGCTGATGAAAAAGTTTCTAAATTAAAAACTATCGGCAAAGGGGGAAGGGATACTGGAAGACAATGTCTAGCCTTCGTTTTGTGGTGAGCTGCAGAAGCTAGGCAAGGAGTAAATAAACAATGCATATTCTCTTTTACTTTGGTACTTGCCTCTGCTTATTTAAGATAATTTTAAAGGATAGAAAGTAAATCAACTATCACAAAAGAAATAAGTTATTAAGGAACAGTATAAGATGAGGTAGATAAATGAATAAAAATAAGAGAGTATATCAACTGATGAATGGATAAATAAAATGCATATATATTCGTACAGTGGAATATTATTTGACATTAAAAAATAAATGAAGTGCTGATGTATGCTACAACATGGATTGGAAACCATTACACTAAGTTAAAGAAGCTGTCTCAGAAAACACATATATGATTCCATTTATATGGAATGTCCAACAGAGTCAAATCCATAGAGACAGAAAGTTAATTAGTGTTCACCTAGAGTTGAAATGATGGGGAGCTGGGGTATGACAGCTGAGAGGTAAAGGAATTCTTTTTAGGGTAATGAAAAGGTCCTAACATTGTTAGGTTGTGATTGTTGTGATGATACACAATTCTGCAAATGTACTAAAAGCCATTGAATTGTACACTTAAAAGAGTGAATTTTATGGCATGGGAATTATATCACAATGAAGCTATTTTTTAAAAAAGAGAGAGAACCTAGTTCTTCTGTCTTTTGTTGTCTGACCCAGTTCGCTGCTTGCCCTCAACAGCTCCTATTATAGCCCCAAGATGACTGCTGCGTTCCAGGATATCAGATATGAAGTGCAGCCCATAATGTCTAAAGCAAGGAAAAGTGTTCCTAAGAGTGCCTTTGTCAGGGAGGATGTTTTTTTGAAACCCTCAGCAGACTCCTTAGGTGTCATACTAGTCAGAATCATTTGTAGGGGAAATGAAAATGCTAGGTTTGCTTAGACCAATCACAATTCACCTGTGACTAAGAAGACATTAAAAGAGCTTTAAAAAAAAAAGTTTAAAAGGTCATGCGATATCTGAACAAAACTGTCATTTGACTGGGTTCTGAGGACTTCAGGACTTAAAGGGAAGCTTTCTTTGTGCTCACACTCTCTTAGCTGTAAGTTATAGCTGTTAAAGAAAAGATTATTCTGACTTGTTAAAAACAGTAGGGAAGACTACTCAAGACTATTGCAGTATAGAGGTCAACTGTTTTGCAATAGGCGAGAGAGGTTGAGCTCAATTCCAAATGCAAGGACAAGTAGAGGTTTATAGCCAGCAAGTAGGTTGAGAGAGTTGATGAATGGAAAATTACTAAGAGGAGACCTGAAGGAGATTCTTGCTAAAGACAGGCCAAGGCTTTATACATCCAAAGGTGCGGAATGAGGAAATACATCCAATATCAAGAGTGGGGGGATTTTCACTGAAATGACTTAGTAGGGTTCTTATAAGACTGGGCTATGCAGGCCTGGCAAGGATAGGATGGACACAGAAGACCAAGGTGAAGGCTTAGTTGCACAGAGGGCTCAGGAGAGCCTAACTAAAGTTAGATCAAAGGAGAGTCTTTGTCATAGTTCAGTTTTGATGTTTTTGTCTTTCTTTTTTTTCTTTCTTTTTATTTGATTAAAAGCCAACAATTTGAAATCAAATAACTTTTATCAGTTCTTCAGTGCAATATAGA